AGGGGCCCATAAGCTGAAGACTTCCCGAGCAGACGTAGGTCGGGCCTCAATGTGGCCACGTGGAATCTCTCTAATTACACTAAAATATATGGGGGAGCGTTATACTACGGCCAGTCGATCGGAAGGAATTAGGACGAAGCTTACTTACCTATATCCAAGGCGACTGGTCCCTCCGGAGTCGGTCAGCTCGCATGTGGTTGTGTAGTGCAAGGAAAATAAAGTGATGTGATGTGTATCTGGGTGCGACTGATGGTGATGAACATAGACCTTGGCCGTCGGCAGCAGCCCGAGCGTCGACACCTCTCCAACTTGACAACTTCCGAGGTTGTCCACAGTCACTTTCCTCCTTCGTCACGATGACAGTCCATTAACTCTATCGTGCGATTAACAAACTTACAGAAGCCACTAACTATCACTGGGTATAATGGTTACCGCACAAAACGCGCACGGATTTTCTGGGTCAAAGGTCACTACCGTTTCGCGTTGCAACAGTTAGTTCTCGAATATCAGAGGCCGCTCTAACTAATATTGTCGAATGCACTTATACAGATTCTGAGTCGGACCCAATAAGTCCCGGGGAAGCTCTCCAGTAGGGATACGCGCCACAAAATTCCTAAACCGTATTTTTACTGTCCGCGCTTAATTATTCCGAGTTCCCGCGCTTAATTGGCAGCGTGCCAATCGTTAGCACTGCCTACAGACGACTGACGACTGAGCCTTTTCACTCGCGACCCGCGCGCCACTGCCACGCTCGGCCGAACTTCAAACCAGTTCGCACCGAGCCGAGTGCCCTCTGGCGTCGATTCCGACAACAGCGTGCGAACACTGTGCGTGGCCAACACAATGTTTGACCACAAAAAGATCCATTTGTATACAAGAGATGAGGGTGAGTCTAGAAGTATGATTGAACACCAGCGTTAGTAGGCTTGTAGTCGGAGCATGCACCGTCTACAACGACCTTGATGCTCCGATCTGCAAGAAAGCTGGTGATCCAATTGCATAATTTCTCGGGAAGCCCATAGGAAGGGAGCTTCGAAAGAAGCGCTTTGTGCCAAACCCGATCGAAGGCCTTCGCAATGTCCAAACTAACGGCCAATGCCTCCCCCTTGGACTCTACTGCCAACGCCCATCTATGAGTTAAGTAGACCAGAAGATCACCAGCTGATCGACCCCGACGAAAACCGTACTGGCGGTCACTAATCAGCTGGTGATCCTCAAGGTACCGCATGAGGTGGCAGTTTACAAGGGATTCCATTATTTTGGAGAACAAGGGGGTGATGGCGATAGGCCTGTAGTTGGACGGGTCTGAGCGGTCGCCTTTTTTAGGGATCGGGTGGACAAATGCTGTCTTCCATGATTTCGGGACTACGCCTAGGGAGTAGGAGTACCGGAAAAGACGCGTTAGAACCGGTGCCAAGTCCGGAGCACACGTCCTCAGCACAATTGGGGGGATCCCGTCAGGCCCACTCGACTTGTGGATGTCAAGGGAGAGGAGTGCTCTACGAACCGAGCGCTGTGAGAACCGCACATCCGTCATGGAGCACTCACACCGCGGGATGGTCGGCGGTGTGTTCCCCCCGTCATCAACAGTCGAGTTGGACGCAAAAAGGGAGCCTAAAAGGTCGGCCTTCTCTTTTGCGTCGTGGGCCAGTGAGTCGTCCTCCCTGTGCAGAGATGATAGTGATGGCTTACAGAAATTCCCTTGGACAGCCTTGGCGAGAGACCAGAATGCACGGGTTCCCGAAGGAAGGCGAACTAGTTTCTCGCCAATTCTGCCTATGTGCTCTGACTTTGCCTTGGCAATAACTCTTTTGAGGGACCTGGAGGCGAAGTTATACTTCTTTTTGAGTGTGCTGGTGTTTACATCCCGAGTCACCGAAGCCGCAGCCCAGGCTTGATAACACTCCTGCTTACTGCGTAATGCAGTCTTACAGGAGCGACCAAACCAAGGCTGAGATCTGCCTCCGATGGGTACCACAGATGATGGAATAAATAGTTACATTCCCTGTAGCACCACATCAGTGATAGAGTCAGCAACAGCGCTGGGATCATCCGGCGAGAAGCAAACCCGCCCCCATGGGTAGGATGCAAAGAAAGACCGCATTCCGTCCCAATCCGCCGACCTGTAATGCCAAACACGGCGGCAATCTGCAGAACGCAACCGCGAGGGGAGCGTGAGTGGCACCACACTCCGGATCAGACAATGGTCCGAAGAGCCAAGAGGGGCATCGACGGAAACCTGATATCCGTCCGGATGAGAGGTCAGCAGAAGGTCCAACAGGGAAGGTGTATGATCCTCAACATCTGGAATCCGCGTAGGCGATGTAACCAGTTGTGTCAGACCATATGCCAAGGCAAAGTCGTAAACAGATCTCCCCGCATGATCGGTTAAACGTGAACCGAGCCATTCGGCGTGGTGGGCGTTAAAATCGCCAAGGATCACGATCTCTGCGGATGGGACCTGTTGTAGCAAGGAATCTGTAGCCATTTGGACGTGGTCGATGAGTCGGTCTGTTTCGGCATTACCGCTATGGGACCTATAGAGGCACGCGTAGACGCGCGGATGGTCGTCGCTGTCTACGCGTAGCCAAAGGATGGACAGGTCCGAACCTTCAAGACTGCCGAGGCGTCGAGAACAGATGTCCTCTCTGACATACACGCAAACTCCAGCCCGAGGCACAAAGGAGTGCTCCAATTTGTACCCCGGATAGGAGAGATACGAAGTATCAGCCGGAGAGGACACCTGCGTCTCGGTCAGAAAGAGCAAGGCCGGCTTCGCCGTCTCAAGATGGTAGTGGACGGCGTTTAGGTTCGAGTGAAGTCCCCTGATGTTGCAGAAATTCACGGATAGCGTGGCAGGGGTCGCCTTGGTCTTGTTGCTCAGTTTGCCCCGAGCAGTTATTGTGTTGAGCGGAATTTTGCCCCCCCCCAGAATACGCGGGGCAGCCTGAGCACCCACGCTCAGGAGTGGAATAGCATGGTCGTGGATGCTCAGCGAGGGATTCTCCAGGGGTACTGGTACCCTCCTGGGGTAGTTTATGACGTAATTCCGCTACCATGTTGATGGGGGGGGGGGGGGGAATTGGGCCTCCGGTCACCTGCACTCACCAGACGAATCGCGGAAGCAGAGCTTCCACCTCACGCCGGTATTCTGTGAGGTCGTGGTACTAACCCGGCTCGAGCCGGCCCATACGTGCAACAGCAAAAGCTACTGCAAGGCTCTACTACCTGGTGGCTAATCAGCTGTACCGCCTTTTCAATCTGTGCTGGCGAAATGGGCAAGTACCGGGAGATTGGTGCAAAGCCGTAATCGTGCCATTGTATAAGGGAAAAGGGTCACGGCAGGACTGCATAAATTACCGCGGTATAAGCCTTCTCAGCGTCGTCGGTAAATTGTATGCGAAAGTGTTGATTGAAAGGGTTGTGAATGAAACAGACGAGAAAGTATGGGATGCACAAGCGGGATTTAGAAAGGGAATGGGATGTACGAATCAGGTCTTTTCCTTGCGGTGCATAGCCAAAAAGTATTTGGCTAAAAACAAGAAAGTCTACTGCGCGTTCGTAGATCTAGAAAAGGCCTATGATAGAGTGCTGAGGAATGAATTGTGGTCAGCACTGTCCGTGAACGGTGTGAGCAGTATCCCCATACGAGCAATGCAATCTCTTTATAGGGATTCTAGTGCTTATGTAAGGATAAACGGGGCATACACTGAATGGTTTAATATCGAAAAAGGTGTTAGACAGGGATGTGTAGCGTCACCGTGGCTGTTCAATCTGTTCATGGACAATTGTTTGACAGATTTAAAAGAGAATGAAAGTGGGTTGAGAATGAATGAGTTACTCGTCAAATGTTTTCTCTATGCTGATGACCAAGTATTACTTGCGTCTTCGGCCGAGGAGTTGCAGGAGATGGTAACTGCTATGAGTGGAGCTTTTGTTAGAAAGGGAATGAAGATGAATGTAAGGAAGATGAAAGTGATGGTGTTTGAAAAAGATGAGGCAGTGACAGACTACAATATTGTGATTGAAGATGAACAAATTGAACAGGTGAAAGAGTTTGTGTATCTGGGTTCAAAGTTTACAAGAGATGGAAAGTGTGAGAGTGATATCTAAAGAAGAGTGAATGCAGGAAACATGGTGAATGGAGCTTTGCACTCCTTTATGAGCAGTCGGAAGGTGTCTAACAAGGCTCTTTTGGCTGTGCATGAGGGGGTGTTGGTTCCGACACTCATGTACGGAAGTGAAACTTGGGTATGGCAAGAAGAAACATGAAAGTAGAATAAATGCAGTTGAGATGAGAGCATTAAGAAGTATGATAGGAGTTAAACTGAGTGACAGGATAAGAAATAGTGAGATAAGGAAACGTTGTGGTCTGAAAGAAGATGTAGTGACAAAAATTGAGAAAGGTATGATGAGATGGTTTGGCCTTGTCGAGAGAATGAATGAAGAAAGATTGACGAAAAAAGTGTATAAGGCGAGTGTGAATGAAAGTGTTGGAAGAGGTAGGCGGACAAAAAGGCCAGGTCAAGAGTACCCTAAACCGTAGAGCGTGTATGAAGGGAATAATGAAAGTGGACGAAGCAAAACAAGTATATAAGGATCGTAGCAAGTGGAAAGAACTGGTCTCTGCCTACCCCTACGGGAAAGAGGCGTGATTATATGTATGTATGAGAGAGAGAGAGAGAGAAAGAGAGAAAGAGCAACAATCGTTTCTAAACCAAACAGCTGGCACCTCCTTGCACACTATCAGAGGAATATGCGTAATAATATTTTCTAATGTGGCAAACATTCATTGATTGTCATTGTTTTCAAGATCATCAAAAGCATTACCATTTTGTGTCCACAACTAGACATAGCCATACAGTTCACCATAAAACGAGGGTACAGCAGTGCCTTGTAATGAACATATATTTTTGAGTATATTTATTGATAGCAGTTGCAAATTATGTCGTATTATAATTGGATAACTTACAATCAGTGTTTTATATTATTATTTTTAGACTTCTGCAAAGCTATACCACAGTTTATAAAAAATTACTTATGTTTGAACAAAAACTTTCCGGTCCTGTGATCTGTCTCACCGCCTACTGCACCGCTGAGGTAACTTTTATTTAAATATTAGATTAGATATTTAAATAAAACTAGTGTTACGTATTTTATCGCGTATATTAATTTATTTTAGATTCCCGTCGTTTCAAATACTTTACAACACGGTCCCGGGGGGGGGGGGGGACTGAGGTGTGACGTCCCAATGTCATAGTTAACCACGACTACCTCCAGATGAAAAATTATTAATTTTTGTTTCGATCTACGCAGTATGAACCTATATATCTTGATGTCTTGCAGTTGTATGCTTGGGTTGGGATTTAATTTTATTAATTATACCATCTCAACGAGATGGTAGCACCAGCTATCTTCTCTATTGAAATTAGGATCTTCTTTGATATCAATAGCCTCGCGAATCATCTTTGGAAGGAATCGGTGTTCTTTGGCGAGGATTTGTGGACTATCAAAGGTCTATCTGGAGGTAGCCGTCGTTAACTATGACTTTGGGACGTCAAACACCTCAGTCTCACCCGTGACCATGGGTAAAGTACTCGAAACGTCGGGAACATAAAATAAGTTAATATACGCGATAAAATCCATAAAATTAGTTTTATTTAAATCTGTAGTGTTCCCGTAAGTATAAGAAATCATTAAGTATACGATGTTTTGTTTTATTTTGATATAGAATGTACTGAATTTTATATATTGATTTAATTTTATATCAAAAACCGCGAGTAAACAAGCGTTTTTATTTAGTATAGCCAAAAAAACTTTACACGATATCATCATCATCATCATCATTACAGCCTTTCACAAGTCCACTGTTGAACATAGGCCTCCCCCAAGGAATGCCACAAAGCACGGTCCTGAGCCACCTGCATCCATCGACTTCCTGCATGTCTTACCAGGTCGTCACTCCATCTCGTGGGGGGTCGCCCTTCATTTCGCCTACCGGTACGAGGCTGCCACTCGAGAACCTTTCTTCCCCATCGGTTGGCGGTTCTTCGAGCTATATGGCCGGCCCACTGCCATTTCAGGTTACTAATTCGTTGGGCTATGTTGGTTACTCTGGTTCTACTGCGGGTATCCTCATTTCTAAGTTTATCACGCAGAGAAACCTCAAGCATAGCCCTCGCCATAGCTCGCTGAGCGACCTTGAGCTTCCTCATACGGCCAGCAGTGAAGGACCACGTCTCAGATCCGTAAGTCATCACTGGAAACACGCACTGGTTGGTTGCTGGTTTCACGATATGTGTAGAGGCAACTAGCTGTTTAAGGTGTATGGTATTGTAACTGCATTGGGTCACTGAACGTGTTACTGTATAGTATTTTCGTGTGCTTAATAGCTAGCACACGGAAATGGTAAGGAGAGTTGAAAACTAACTACTGAGATACATATTCCATGCTCACGGCACGTGGACAGTTTATTACAAAATTTCTATTCTATAATAAAACAAAAATATTAAAAAAAGTGTAAGTTATATAATTATGATGAATCGGTTTCATATATTATACAAGTCTTAAATGCCATTAGTTCACAGCTGGACTTAATTACGGACGTTTGTCATATATCAAATGTCTCACACTCTTGATGCTGTTCCCAGTCGCGTTGCCGTATGGGTGATTATTTCACTTTTGAAATAATATATTAGGTCTTAACCTATGCCATTTTTTATAAAAAAAATTTAACGTTATTTTTTCTACATTTTTCATTTCTATTAATCAAAGTAATAACCCATGCAATTGATGTATTTTTGCCAACACAGTGGCAGTTTATTGATGTTCTTCTTGAAGAGATCAGCTGGACGGGAGGCAATATATTCTTCATAGGTATTTTGTACTGCTTCTCGGGTATTGAAATTTTTTCCGGCCAAAAAGTTATCCAAATTCTGGAAAAAGTAGAAGTCTGTAGGCGCAAGGACTAGTGAGTACGTCGGTTGACGAAGAGCTTCCATCCCCAGCTCTTATATTAGAGACCGTCTGTTGTGCAGTATTAGATCGCGCGTTGTCGTGCAGGAGCAGCGGGAACGAGCGATTGACCAAAGCTGGTTAGAGACGTGCGAGCTTCTCTATCATTGTGTTCAGCTCTTCGTAGTACAAACTTTTAGTAAAGCTCATCTCGTTTGGTAAGAAGCTGTGATGAATTAAACTGGCTCTAGACCACCAAACAGTGACCATCTTTTTCTAGGAGTAAGTTTTCTTTTAGGGCATTGATTAGATGCTGAACCAGGATCCATCCATCTTGATTAGCGCTTGAAAATGCCATAGAGAATCCATTTTTAGTCGCAGGTAACAATTGGGTTCAAAATTCCTTCGTTTTGTGCCTGTTAAGCAGTGAAAGTCTCATCTGATGCGTACTTCACGCTGGCGAACATTTATTTCCTAAGGCAGATAATAGTCAAGTTTTTTGCCTTCCAAATTTGACGCAAATGGACCAATGTTGCTTTGATGCTAACATCGAAAGCTGCTGCTTATTCAGCCGTAGATTGAGTATCATCTACTTCCACAATCTCTTTAATACGTTTATTTGTAGTAATCACTCCGTAAACGTCTTTGATGTTGCGTGCCACTTGTGCCACGTTGCTGCCCCGACGGTACTCATTTTTTTATAGGATAAGGGTGACAAAGGAGCTTTCGGCTCGAGCCGGGTTTGTACCACGACCACACAGAACGGCGTGAAGTAGAAGCTCTGCTGCCGGAGGCCCAATTCCCCCCCCCCCCCCATCAACATGGTAGCCGAATTACAGCAAAGACAAGAGCGTGGGTGCTCGGGCTGCACCGCGTATTCTGGGGGGGGGGGGGGGGGCAAATTTCCCCTCAACGCCGTCCACTACCATCTCGAGACGGCGAAGCTGGCCTTGCTCTTTCTGACTAAGACGCAAGCCTCTCCGGCTGATGCTTCGTATCTCCCCTACCCGGGGTACAAATTGGAGCATTCCTTTGTGCCTCGGGCTGGAGTTTGCGTATAAGTCCGCGAGGACATCTGTTCTCGACGCCTCGGCAGTCTTGAAGTTTCGGATCTGTCCATCCTTTGGCTACGCGTAGACAGCGATGACCATCCGCGCGTCTATGGGTGCCTCTATAGGTCCCATAGCGGTAATACCGAGACAGACTGACTCATCGACCACGTCCAAATGTCTACAGATTCCTTGCTACAACAGGTCCCACCAAGCCGAATGGCTCAGTTCACGTTTAACCGATCATGCGGGGAGATCTGATTATGACTTTGCCTTGGCATATGGTGTGAAACAACTGGTTACTTCGCTTACGCAGATTCCAGATGGTGAAGATCATACACCTTCCCTGTTGGACCTTCTGCTGATCTCTCATCCGGACGGATATCAGGTTTCCCTTGATGCCCCTCTCGGCTCTTCGGGCCATTGTCTGATCCTGAGTGTGGTGCCACTCACGCTCCCCTCGCGGTTGTGTTCTGCAGGTTACCGCCGTGTTTGGCATTACAGGTCTGCGGATTGGGAAGGAATGCGGTCTTTCTTTGCATCCTACCTATGGGGGCGGGTTTGCTTCTCGCCGGATGATCCCAGCGCTGTTGCTGACTCTGTCACTGGTGTGCTGCTACAGGGAATGGAACTATTTATTCCATCATCTGTGGTACCCATAGGAGACAGATCTCAGTCTTAGTTTGGTCGCTCCTGTAAGACTGCATTACGCAGTAAGCAGGAGTATTATCAAGCCTGGGCTGCGGATTCGGCGACTCGGTATGTAAACACCAGCAAACTTAAAAAGAAGTATAACTTCGCCTCCAGATCCTTCAAAAGAGTTATAGCCAAGGCAAATCAGAGCACATAGGCAGAATTGGCGAGGAACTAGTTAGCCCTCCTTCGGGAACACGTGCATTCTGGTCTCTCGCCAAGGCTGTACAAGGGAATTTCTGTATGCCATTGGTACCATTTCTGCACAGGGAAGACGACTCACTGGCCCACGCCGCAAAAGAGAAAGCCGACCTTTTAGGCTCCCTTTTTGCGTCCAATTCGACTTTTGATCACAGGGGGAACACACCGCCGACCATTCCGCGGTGTGAGTTCTCCACGCCGGATGTGCCGATTCGACAGTGCTCGGTTCGCAAAGCACTCTTCTCCCTGGATATCCACAAGTCGAGTGGGCCTGACGGAATCCCCCTAATTGTGCTGAGGACGTGTGCTCCGGAGTATGCACCGGTTTCAACGTTTCTTTTCCGGTACTCCTACTCCCTAGGTGTAGTCCCGAATTCATGAAAGACAGCTTTTGTCCACCCGATCCCTAATAAAGGCGACCGCTCAGACCCGTCCAAATACAGGCCTATCGCCAAAATCTCCTTGTTCTCCAAAATAATGGAATCCATTTTAACCTGCCAGCTCATGCGGTACCTTGAGTATCACCAGCTGATTTGTGATCGCCAATACGGTTTTCGTCGAGGTCGATCAGCTGGTGATCTTCTGGTCTACCCGACTCATAGATGGGCGGAGGCAGTGGAGTCCAAGGCGTTGGCCGTTAGTTTGGATATTGCGAAGGCCTTCGATCGGGTTTGGCACAGAGCGCTTCTTTCGAAGCTCCCTTCCTATAGGCTTACCGAGAAATTGTGCAATTGGATCACCAGCTTTCTTGCAGATCGGAGCATCAAGGTCGTAGACGGTGCATGCTCCGACTACAAGCCTATTAACGCTGATGTTCCACAAAGCTGAGTGCTATCACTAACACTGTTTCTTCTGCATATCTTTGATATGTTGCAAACTGGTAACATTCATTGCTATGCGGGTGTCAGCACTGGTGATGCTCTATATACCGGCCGTGCCAATATTTCTTGGGAAAACGTCGCCGAGTACCAGAACAAACTTGTGTCTGAAGTCGAGTCTTTGCTGAACAAAGTTTTGGTTTAAGATTAAGTTGCCTATCTATTATAATCTACTCCAGTTTAATCCTCAGAAGACACAAATTTGCGCGTTTACCGCTAAAAAGAAACCCTTTGTCGTATCTCCTCAGTTTCAAGGTATTCTCCTTGTTGCCTCAGCCAGTATTGGAATCCCCGGCGTCGACATATCGAGTGACGTGCAGTTTCG